ATACTGGCAGTCTTGCGAGTCCTCCTGAACCGACCTGTAGTACTCCACGCCACGCCTTCAGTACTTAGCAACGCTTCCTTCATCTTATCCACAGCGACGATCGCGTGAAGATCAGTGGGGGTGCCTGTCACGTTCGGTGAGCCATAATATGGCGTTGAACCGGTCTCGAACATAAGCTTCACCGTGTTCGCGGCGAGTGTGGATGCGAAGTCCAAGAGGTTCGAACTACTTGTGGTGGTATTCTCGCTGGTGGTAGTTAGGGCACTCGTGCTGAATGTCGTATCGGCGGCAGCGTGTGAGTTACGGGAACGCGACCAACCGTATATCACCCCTGCGCGATCCCACTAGCCACAACGGCACCTGTAGAAAAAGCAGCAACAAGCAGACAAAGTCGCTTCTTGGTTCGTTCTACGAGCAGCGGCAGCCACTCTTTTGGTAGACTACCGCGGGCGTCCGCCAGCTCCACAGGTGTCAAACGCCTGCAGTCTATGACCTCTAGTGCCTCTTTATGCTCCAATGCCACATGTTCCCAGGCACGCACAATAGGCAGTGCTTTTCCCAACTCCGACACCGACCGACCGACGCTGTCACGGCAAATCTGATCCAAAACACGGGGGAAATCGCCATCAGGATCTGCCGCCTCCAGATAGTCTTTGAGATCCCGCATAGCCAGGGCTTCACCTAAAGTATTAGTCTGATCACAGGGACTGCACAGGAAAATTCTGGAGCACATCTCCAGCCAGTAGAATCTTCCGCGTTTATTCAACAAAACTTCTTCCTGAATGTTAGCGGCATCATCCCTGGCTGCTTCAATGAACTTCTTCATGGCTTCCTTAGGTACCGCAACGAGGAATTGAACCCTGGCCTCTCCTCTTCGGTGACCTAGTACCAACATTCTAAAAACACAGTCGGCAACAGGTGGCTGCACCCCTTCGGAATTTACGAGCCCTGCCAGCAGTCCCAATCGTCCCACGTTGTCTGACACCTGGCATGATACGGTCTTCATTGCCTGCTAAATTATTCCAGCCCAAAATTGCCAACATTATGAACCAAACCACCTTCCCTGCTGTCGCCCATAAAGGTCCGTGCGCCACGCCAAATGGAACCAGTATTGTATGTAAGATGGTAATCAGCGGCCGAAGCCGGGAGTCGTAGTGGCAGATGTTAGGTCTCCAAAGCGAGTGTCTCCAAACCGGGTGTCTCCAAACCGGGGGTCTCCAAACCGGGTCGGGTAAATATCATTGGGGGGGCCAACAACGAGCACGCACGCCAAATGTTTGACCAACCGACGACGTACTTCACTTCTTAAACCACAGCGACCACCAGTGGCGCAGTCTCTCGTGGCGGATAGTCTCAGTTCGTACACGTATCCACTCTCGCCGCACATGGCCATTCTGGTCGGCCTACCTACAGCGGTCATTAGATTTGCCAATGTCAGGTCCATGTCGGGTGTGTCCAGAAGGCTCATTTGGCGGCATGACCGTGAAGGTGACGTTCTTTAGCCGCTTGCTGTCGTATCAGCTGAACACGTTCGGCCCGATTAGCTTGCTGGACGTCTCCGTGGTGTCACTGCTTTTGGTGCCGCCACCTACCTCGACGTTGCTCACTCCAGGGGCCAACCCCTCCACTGCCGACAAGCCGCCACGTCAAGGATGCGTTGCTCCAGGAAATTTCGTGATCACAATGGCTGCAATGGCGACGTACGTATTGACTTGTACGTATTGACTTGTACGTATTGACACGTACGTATTAACTCGTGCGTAGTCGGGAACGGAAACTCAGTCCATGTAGGGCCGCCTGAGCGGGGCCGCCTACGTGGGGCCGTTTTGTCCGAATCAAGTTGCTTATAGACGGAGTTGGCTGAGGGCGCGAACGAACGTATGGGTGGAAAGGTTTTGTAAAAATCTGTTGTCACGCTACCGGCCATTGTTGTAGGCCACTGTGGGATCGGTCGGGTGGCTACTTTGAGTGAATATTCTCGCGCCTAATGGATTGTGGTTTTCTTTTTGGTCGAGGAAGGTGTTGGTGACCACATGATACCGTGACAAACAGCATCGCATTTCTCGGTGTGGATATGTCTTGTTTTAGGATGTGCGATTTTAGCGTTAGCACCTGGGACAGATAGCATACGAAACACGTCCCGCACGCGTGCGTGAAACCCCCATGATTCAATCACTTGCGGTCTGTCTTCGCCTTCGACCACGGTCTTGCATGTGACGTGCGCAACACGACAGATGCAGTCGGGGACATCGGTGCAAGACTGTCGGTCGAAAGAGCAACTTGATGAATACTTAGGGTCGGCAGGATACCATTTCGGTAATAATTTTGGGAAACTCGATGTTAAGGAAGTCTGGCGTTGATATCCGGGTGCGTTCCATAAAGCATCGTTGGCTTCCTCCCACAAGTGATGTCTCATTGTATCTTCATCATCACATCTTACAACACAATCCTTAATTCTGTCTATGTGATGTTTAACCGCATCCTCCACTGCGAAGACGTCCATCCATGCAGGACCAAAACGATGACATGAAACTGGTTTGCTTTTGTCGCAGCTCGACCATGGCTTCCAGATGGAGCACTGTCGTATATTCGTTCCACACATCATTATGCCACCCTGGCCATTACATGGATATCGACCAGTCTCTTCTACTTGGCGCCAGTCTCCTTTAGGAT